GTTTCTAATATCTCCGATTGCAGATCTCAAGCATTGTCTGTTGGAGCAGTCAATGATTTTTTTTTTATTGTTGCTGTTAATTATCTCTTGCTCTTGTTTTTCTCTGTTTTTCCAGCTACTTTTTTTTTCTCACACTAGTTACTCTTGCCACGACTCTGCAAACTACTTTTGACCAACTCTTCCCTTGTCCTCTATAGCTTAGTAGCTTCCTTTCAAAAATCCAGATGACTAGTGAATACTTTGTAACGTGTCTAGAATATTGATATAAATTTGACCCTCAAAGGTACTTCCATTACAGGATTTAAAAAAGAGCTTTATATTGTATTTTGAATAGCATTTTACCACTAAATGCTGGATGGGTAATGGCAAAACAGTATTTGCACTTAATAATCAATAGTAGGTGTGGAACACTTAAATCAAATAGTTTGAACAATGTGAAAACGACGAAAATTGAAAACTGGTCTTTATGATGACTTTTCACAGCAATGTCTTCGAGTTATTAAAGAACAAAAGTTTTATTTAATTAGGCCTTGCTGGACCAATAGAAATAAAGAATCTTGCGACATAATATACGTTTTATTGCGCTTAATAACATTTTAATTTGAATAAGAGATCTAGAGAAGATTTAAATAGGAGACTCTTGCAGATCTAAATTAGCCAAACGTTTTTTTATCCCGTTATTGTTAACTGCACTGTTGCCTTTAATCTCACAAGAATTCCATTTTGTAGTTCTATTATTTTATACTAGAATTTTGTGTTCAAAACTTATCTTTCCCAAAAAGCTTAAAAAGCGTTTGAATCACCGCTTTTGTTCTTCTATCGTACGTAGCTGGGTAATCTACGCACCTCGCCAAATTTTTAAATCTCCCAAACGCGACATTTTAAACGAAGTCTCAATTCAAAGGTTGTAGGCGAAAAAAAGAGTAAAAGTTGCTAACAGTGACTATGTTTAACAGCAGGTATGTTTTTTATGCATTTCACTGTGGTGTGGCTCTTTAAACAAACCATTTTGGTTTCGCAATTGAGCGCTGAGGCTCACAAATTTTAAAACATGGGAAATTCTAGAAGTGAATAAAAATAGTTTGCCAATCGGCGTGAAATGATTTGCAAATGTACGAATATACAAATATATGAATATAAAGGTGA